CTTTCCACGCTCGAGCGACCATTCTTGTGCTCGAGCGTTGGTCTATTGTCTGTAAAACTACTGAAAGCGTGCATTTTGTGTTCGAGCGTCACTTCTTGCGCTCGAGTGGAACAACTTATTGTGTCTGATGCTTAAGCGTCAACTCTTGTGCTCGAGCGGACTATGCATTTATCAATTCGTAGCAGCCCCTTTTTCATCTTTTTCTCTCTCAAAAGCCCTAGATCGGCACACACACTCTCTCTCTAAATCTCATATTCTCTCCACTATTTCACCTAGATCCGTTGGGTTCTCCACCCTAGTGCCTTTGAGAAAAAGGTAGAGCAGGTCATGGGCTCTCTTTTCATCCGAACAAATGTGGGTTTCAATGTCTTTGAAGTTCCCTTTTGCTTTGCTGGTCTTCTAACTTTGAGGTGGGGGCTTTCTCCACTCTTCTATGAGTTTTAACTTGGTTATTTGTTGATGGATAAGAAATGTTGAGACTTGTTGTGATTTTGAACAAACCTAGGTTTTGGGTTAAAATCCAAAAGAGGGGTTTTCGAATGAACGTATTGGAAATAGTTATGGAAGTAGATATGAGCTTGTGTTGTGTTAAAAAGGTTGTTTTTGGTGTTTGGGATAAGATTGGGAAAAATGGGGTTTTATCCTAAAATGTCTTGAATAATTATTTTGTAAAAATAATGGAATTGGTATTGGGAATATGAAATTATATGGATGTTTATATAAATGGTGGAATTAGATCTGTATTATCTCGCACCTATGGAAATGTGGACAAGTTACCTATTATAAAGATTGTATATCTGTTTAGCCAGGATTGTTGTAGAAATTGCATGTGGGTTAGGAAAATTAAAACGAACTTCTTGGACATTATCATTGAATATGAACATAATTTATATACATTGTATATATATGATTTTTGGGATGAGAAATGGGATGTACTCTATGTTTGGGAGGAGAAAGGAGATGGACACCATTAAACTAAGTTGGCCTGCGTGTTGAGGGTGAAAATCCCAAAAACTGTGTGTATAGATGGGTGCTGATTCCCACAAACAAAATTTCTGTAAAATGGCAAGTGAATGTATTTTGTATGATAATTATATTGATTAGAGGCCTATGGGGTGTATCCTTTGTTTGGTTGACTAAATGAAGTGGTTATAACTACTGAACTGAGATGTGAGTTTGATAGAACATGGTTACAGAAAGGTTGTAAAAGATTTTTCGTTTGGGAATTGAATATGTGCATCATACTTATATCTTTGTTAATATTCATATATTGTGTTAGATTGTTTCTACTGGGTTTTGGCTCACCCTATTTGGAAAAACCATTTTCAGGTGCCGGTGATATGCCTCCACCAAGGACTTAGCTTGGGGGTACCGTGGAGCTGAAGGCTCAATTTTATTATTTTGTGTTTAAATTTTGTTACAAGCCTAGGGCTTTAATTGTATTGAGCTTGTAACTCATTTTGTTGTAACCAAGCACAGTCTTGGAAAGATGTAAGCCTTTAGGGCATTTAGATGTCTGTTTAACTTTCATTTCTTATTACTATTTGTAACACATGCTGTAGATTCAGGATGCATCATTTATGAATATATAATGCACGTGTCCCTTTTGTATTCCAACTCTGATTAATGAAAGCACCATATTTCAACTTTATTTCCTCTTATGAGATGAGTTTATCCTATTTACTTTAGGGCGTTACATATTCTAGCTTAGCCTTTGGTTGTTCCTATAAACTGTGCACTGGTTGTCTCATGTCCTCTATTCTTTCTTTTGCTTTCTCTTTGAAATTCTCTTTTTTCTTAAATGGTGATCTTTTAGTCAAAACATTCAATACTTGATGATCAATTCAACCAAATACCAACCAACCAAGCAAGGCAACAAATCAAAAAATAGATCTAAATAACTAATGGAGACACGTACAAGTTTAACAATTCAAAACACCGTGGATCATCTTCATCCTGGTAAATCACATCAGCTCTAAGTCGGAGCTTAAGTCCATGAGAGAGATTCACACACACAAGAACATGACATGAACTATGTTAAATATGATTTCAAATAGAAACATGATTAACACTGAAATAAATAATGGGATTGCCAAAACTAAGTCTTAACACTATTTCTTCCAATACCGGCGGCTGATGCCAAAAACATAAAGTAAAATTTTAAATTAAAAAACTAGAGCCCCGAAAACAATACCAATGGCTTTTGTACCAAGGAGTCTCCAACATACAATACATCAAAATTAAACAGTTCCATAAAGATATACATACATATTTATGTCATCGAGGCTCTAGTATTGTAGTGGTGAATTCATTGGTTGAAGTACGTGCATTTTTACCAGAAGAATTATCAGTTTCAATTAGATTCCTTTCAGTAAAAAAAACTAGGCTGTTTGGGACAAGGTAATGCACTTTCACTTTCCAACATTAGAACCACGGATGACATTGTTGACCTATCTTTTGGACTTTGTTGCACACATAATAGACCCACATGAATTGATCTCAACACTTCAGATACATGACAAGAGTCCCTTACAGCTTCATCAAGTAGATCCAAGGACTTGCCTTCTTTATCCACCATCCATGCCTAAATAATATGCAAACAAATTAGGACTATTGCTTTTAATTTAATGTAGATATCAAAATAGTATTACCAGCCTTGATTTTTACATGTCCAATAAGGTTGAGGTTATGATCTGGATGAAAGAATCCTTTATTTCTCTTCCTGTTCACAATCTCTAGAACCAAAATACCAAACCTGAATACATCCGATTCTACTAAGAAATGCCAATCAATTGCATATTCTAGAGACATGAAGCCACTACAATAAGACATCAAACAAATCGAGAAATTTAGGACCATTATAAGTGCATTACAGATTACATAGATCAAGTTACAGTAAAGATTTGTATTATGTTCCGACCACTCTATTTGTGTTTGTTTTTGTCTCATCTCCTTTGAAACTTCTAGCCATGTCGAAGTTTGATATCTTCGGCCTCATGACAACATTTAACAAAACATTGCTAACTTTGAGATCCTTGTGGATAATTCTTACTCTTGAATCTTGATGAAGATAAAGAAGTCCCTAAGCAATTCCAGTGATAATGTGAAAGTGCTTTGGCCAAGCAAGTAGGTGCATCCAATTCGATCTGTCTATATTTGACTAAGTTAATTGTGCTTATATATTTGAGTGTAAAAACGTATTTTTAACTTTGAATACATGGACATTCGATTAACAAAAAATTCACATAGGCAGCCATTTGAATTACTTTTTATTTAAAAAAGAATAATAATAATAATTGCAAGATGGCAGATACTTCATTTCGCGGCTTACATAGGCAGTCATTTGAACTTGGTCTAACCAAATTCTAGAGGAACTATGTGCCAAATCACCACACCAGTAGAGGGAATACTTGAAAAATATAGTGCACTTTTTGATCTAAAAATTACTATGGTTTTGACAAAGCCGGACAAAAAATAAAGAAGTCTAAGCTTTTGTTAGGCCTGTTTCACAGATCAACATCTTCCCTTCTCCTTGAATGCAGCACCCTAAAAGCTTTCCAAGATTCTGATGCTAAAGTTTGGCAATACATATAACTTCATTCTTGACCTCATCAATTCCTTGTCTAGAGTTTCTCGAAAGCCTCTTCACAGCTATTTGTTGTCTCTCTTCCAATATACCTTGAAGATTGGCAATTGTTATAAACAAAATATCCAACCCTTGAAAAAAGGCACTTTTGTTCTTACTTTCCTTACCTCTTTTATATATATATATATATATATTTATGTTAATTACTTCCTATCAGCATTAAAAAACTTACCACCTTTGACAATAACTACATAGAGTTTATTTAAATGCTTACCTTGTAGACAGTGCCATAGCCACCCTCTCCAAGCTTATTGCTTGCTGAAAAGTAACTGGTAGCATTCATTATTGTACCAAAATCAAACAGTGGTAGTTCTAAATCTTTATTCAGGCTTTCATTGTTGCCACCTTGTTTAAAGATATCTCTCATTGTTCCTGCACAATAGTAGATAAAGTGAATTTGAATGAAAGAACCTATTTTAACTAGGTAGAGATATGAAGTAATACTTTTTTTAGAAACACACAAGCATGCGTGCACACACAAAGTTTGCCACAGAATGTGTCATTTGAGTTACCTTTTCTCTTTATCTGCTACTACTATTTCTTTCTCCAAACATAAAAGATGAGACAAAAGATTGGCAGGCCAAGTCCCATTGATAATGCCAAGCTGATCCCGTTTTTCTCTCATTTCTTCCCTTCAAAGCTAGCTTTGGAAATTGTCGAGTATACTATCTAATTGAAGAGATTAATTAATCTCAAAGGTACAATCATATAAGTGCAAATTTAGAAGGATTGTTTTTGCCACATAATGAAAATATTCTGTTTAGTACTAAAAGATACAATGACTTGCAGTTTGTGTTGTTAGTTGCTTCATAAAAGTTAAAGGACAACAATACAAGTAACAAAATATTATTGTGACAACAATATATATGCTGCTTAATTGTCGGATTATCTCTTCCTACAAGCTGACTCATAAGAGACTGCAAGTATACTACACTCTTCAATAACTTATTGGAGACAAATATAACGTAATTTTTTTGCACCGGAAAAAAAAAAAAAACCAGTAATATATAATGACATACCTAACTCAGAGGAGGCCATCCTTATGTAGAGGTCTTGCCCATTTTCATTGAAATCTTCTTTAATATCAATCAAGTCACCAAACCAAAGTAAGCATCCACTTACTTCTCCACTATTTATATTCAATGCTGCATATGTGATGCAAGTGCAATTGTGCAAGCACACATTTTGGCATTCTTTAAGGGTTGTTCTCTCATTAAACCAGGAATACCGTGTGTCTGGAAGCTTAATCCCCAAATACTTGAGAAAACCATCATTATTTTGGCAATCCAAGGCCTTCCTCCTAACAAAACCACTCGATGAAATTCCCATTGCCCATTCTGTTGGGAGGCTTGGCACAAATTTATCTAGACACCCACATATTGGTGAGTTGCCAAGGTTGCAACTAGCATAGGCACCTATGATAACCGAACCCGTATTATGCTTAATTATACAAGTGATTATATGTTTGATATGAAATTGCAAGCTTAAGTATCTAAATTATGTGAATTGGGACAATATCTGCTGTGTGTAGGAATATCTGTTGCAATTGGGACTTTGAACTATAAATTGAAAGCCTTAGAGGCGCGATAAACCAAAGCTGACTTTATATCTATGATTAACATGATTTTTAGAGCCTATGGTGAAATTTTGAAAAATTACAACTCGTAATGATTAAATTAAGTTTTATGAGTTAAGTTATATGTGTATAGTCCTCTTTTGTTACTCATTTTGGGTAGAGAGCTATAGATAATGAGTTAGAGAGAGAGAGAGAGAGAGAGAGAGACAGACAGACAGAGAAAGCAAGATGCAAAGTTAGGATTTTACTAGAGATTCAAAGGGCAAACCCTAGATTGAAGCTAAGGTATGGAAATTTACTTGAAATCTTTGTCTTTAGCTCATATCTTTGGCATTAAATCAAGAAGAAATTACAAATTTTGAGCTAGGGTTTTGGGTTGTGTAATGGGTTGAACCAAATGCAAGAAATAGAACCTTAATCTGTTCACCTTTGTTTGGTTTGAATTCATTCTTGTGATTGATCCATGAAATAAACTCTAGATGGTTCATACTACCAAGATTTGTTAAAAGATTCATCATGTTTGTATGTATATTGAGCTTTTGTATGCAATTTATGAATATATGAAAAAGATGAGACCATGAATCTAAAGTTGGAGCAAGATTGATATGTTTAAAGTGAGATTACATTTGTATCATTCTAGTATATCATGTTTTTGGGATTGTTTTGCATGAATTTGGTGTTGGAAATGGGTTTGGAAGATTTAATTTTGTGCCATTTTCGGACTGTCTGGTTTTGTCCGGCCACGGGCTCTGCACGAACGGAGCATGAACAACTTTGGCCACATTGGTTATGTGTGCTCGAGCGGCTCACACTTTCGCACGAGCGGTGCCAGACCGCTTAAGCGGTTAGGTCAAGCCGCACGTGCGGCCAGGCAGGAGTGAAAATTTTGTTTTCTTCTGTTAACCTTTTTGACCTTTTGAATGCCTTGTTGACCTTATGTAAACCCTTCGAAGTATGAATGATGATTTGAAACCATTGGAAAAAGAATGTGAATCACTAAAAGAAAATGTACGAAATGATCGGATTATTTATCGAATGTGTGTGTGTGGCATGTTTGTGTAGGTCGTGTACCGGAGAAAATGCTGCAAGATCCAACGCACTGTGAGTAATAATATTGCACATATATGTTCTTAATTGTGTACCTCGAGTCATGAATTGGGAATTGTGCCAACATTGTATTTTGATCGAGATGAATGAAATTCGTAAAAGTTATATGACATGTGCAATGTGGACCCAAGGTGGTTTTGTTTATGTTATGATATGTTTGGGCCCAAGGTCGTTCTGTTAATATGTGTTATGTTCTTTTGTGGACCTGAGGCCGTTCTATTTAAGTAATGGGCCTAAGGTCGTTCTGCATATATGATGGACCCAAGGCCGTTTTTCATTATGACTATGAAATTATGAGAACCTTATGTTCATTTAATTACACTGCTTTACTGTATTATTACATATTGAGTTTCGCTCACCCAATATTGTGTATGCACATGTAGGTGATCCGCAGCATGGAGCCCACCCTCAGAGTCAACTTCAGGAGCTATTTTTGCGAACCTGTTGAGTCATACCTTTAAGATGGAGTTTTACCTTTAACTCCCATTGTACTTTGACTTTATTTTTTTTTATTACTATTATTTTGGTCTTGGATTATGTAAACAATATGTATAAAAATTTCCTATGGTGCGTATATTTTTGCATGGGAATGTAATTGATGTGAATGTATTATGGTATAAGCTTTATAACTTTGCTCATATTGACACAGCTCAATGGACTTCTTTAGTTGTTATATGCTTCCGTTTATGGCCCTATTATTATGATTACTCTATATGTTGTTTGAGACCAAAGGTAATCAAGTGATTACTAGCCGATTATGACCCAAACTTTTACGGGCGGGTTCGGGTCATGACAGAGTGGTATCAAAGCACAAATTAATATCTCACATACGAGTCTATTTGAGCAATAAAAGGTCTAGAAAAGGTTAAGTTACATCCATAATGCATTCATAATCAGGTATGACATTAAAATGTGCATTTGTAAATATGACTTATATGCATAGTATCTCTGAAAGTTATAATGTATGTTCTTATAGATCATGGTGAGAACAAAGGTGGAAGATGGGAAGGGTTCAACCTCCTTTCGACTTAATAGAATAAAGGAAATGATCATGTAAATGATAGAGGATTTTAGACAACAACAACAACAACAACAACAACAACAACCACCACCACCATTGCCACTAATGTCTGTGCCACCACCTATAGTGCAAGACCACTAAGCTAACAACCGAACTATTGCACTCAAAAGGAAATTTAAAAGGATAAAACCGCCATTGTTCAAGGGAGGAATTGACCCACTGAAGGCAGAGGCATGGGTGCTTGGTATAGAAAAACTGTTTGAAGTCTTCCTATGTACAGAAGCACAGAAAGTCTTGCTTGCTACTTTTACACTCGAGGATAAAGCACACCATTGGTGGATTCTTATTCGAGATGAACATCAAGGAATGAATTGGGCTCAATTCTTAGAGATCTTCTATGAGAAATACTTCCCACGATGTATTCGAGACAGGAAGGTGTCAGAGTTTGAAAACTTAAAACAAGGAAACAAAATCATAGCATAGTATAAGGCCCAGTTTACCGAGCTAGCCTGTTTCGCACCACATATGGTTGATATGGACTACAAAAAGGCAAGAAAATTTGAGGGAGGACTTCGAGACTCTATTCTTGAGAAGATTAATGTGTTAAAGGTACAAAAATATGTGGATGTATTGGACAGGACCATCATAACGAAAGGTAACTAGGCCAACAGCAAACGAAACTCGAAATGGAAGGGAAAAAGGCAGGGTTCTAATATACACAAGGGGTTGGCATCCTCATAAAACAAGAAGCAAAATTTGGAAACTTCTAGCGCTTCGAGTTCTACTCGTGATTCAGCACCAACTTGTCCGGAGTGTGGAAATAAGCATCAAGGAGTTTGCTACCGAGCAACCGGGGCTTGATTTAATTGTGGGAAAATGGGCCATATGATGAGAGATTGTCCAATGTTTGGGCAGCAAAAGGGGAATAGGCCAACTACTAGTTCAGCCAATTCCAATCCTGTAATGAAGGCTTCGGCAAGGCCTACTATTACTAGGGACAATGTTCGACAAGGGAGAGTCTTTGCACTTGTTTCGGGTGATGTTCATAATTCAGATGTTGTGGTTTCAGGTACACTCTCCATCAATGGTCAACCTGCTCATATGTTACTTGATTCAGGTTCAACTCATTCCTTTGTTTCGAAAACATTTGCTCCTCATTTGAATAGAACTATGGAATCGTTGAATTATGTGTTGTGTGTGTCCTTGCTATTTGGGGACTATATGTTATGTACTTCTATGTATCCTGCATGTGAACTTTTACTTGGGGATATTTCATTATGTGCTAATTTGATGCGTCTCGATATGGTACACTTTGATATAATTTTGGAAATGGATTGGTTAACTAAGTATCATGCAACCATCGATTGTGTATCTAAACAAGTTGTTTCCGCCCACCAGGACAAGATGAGTTTACTTTTGTGGGACATGGGGTAGTCCCTCCACTCTATTTGATATCGGCTATAAAAGCTTGTAAACTACTTCAGAAAGGTTGTAAGGGTTATTTGTGTAGCATTTTGCATGTAAAGACAACCGATGTGAGTGTTGAAAATGTTCTAATAATTAGTAAGTTTCCGAATGTATTTCCTAAGAAATTGCGGAGTTTATTTCAAGGTGCCTTCAATGTCAGCAAGTGAAAGCGGAACACCAAACACCAGCGGGGTTATTTCAACCTTTCCCTATTCTAGAATGGAAGTGGGATCACATAACTATGGATTTTACTGCGGGCTTGCCCCGAACACCCCCAGGTATGGATTCTATATGGGTTGTTGTGGATAGATTAACTAAGTCTGCTCACTTTTTGCTTGTGAAGATTGTTTATAATGCTGATAGACTTGTTATTGTGTACATTGCTAAGATTATTCAATTGCACGATGTTCCGGTTTCCATTGTGTCAGATAGAGATTCTAAGTTTGTGTCAAGATTTTGGCAAAGCTTACAAAAAGCATTGAAGATGGCATTGACGTTCAATATAGCATTTCATCCACAAACCGATGGACAATCTGAAAGAACTATACAGACGTTGGAAGACATGCTCCGAATGTGTGTTTTGGATTTCCTTGAAAGTTGGGAAACTCATTTACCTTTGGCGGTATTTGCATATAACAACATTTTCCACTCCAGTATCGGAATGACACCATATAAAGCTTTGTATGGGAGAAAATGCCAAACTTCGGTTTGTTGGACCAAAGTTGGGGATAGATCGTTGATTGGGCCTGAAATTGTACAAGTTACTACGGAAAAGATTCAGATCATCTAATAGAGATTGAAAACTGCTCAAAGTCAACAAAAGAGCTATGCGGATTAAAGAAGGAGAGACTTAGAATTTGAAGTTTTGGATCACGTTTTTGTTAGAGTCACCCCAATAAAAGGGCACAAAAGGCTTGGGAAGAAAGGAAAATTATCACCCCGGTACATAGGGCCATTTTAGATTTTAGAAAGATTAGGTCCAATGGCCTATCGAATTGCTTTACTACCGGGCATGGAGCAAGTACATAATGTATTCCACGTTTCAATATAGTGAGGCAACCTTCAGAACCCTTCTCATGTTATTGACTATCATTAGATTGTGCTAGATGACAATATGGTCTATGAGGAAAAACCTATTCAAATTCTTGACCGGCAAGTCATGCAACTAAGGAACAAGGCTATCCCAAAGGTAAAAGTCAAATGGAGGGAACATTATGGGAAGGAAGCTACTTGGGAACGAGAAGAAGAAATTAGGCAACGATATCCAAAATTGTTTTCAACTTGAGGTAAACAAGTTTGGAGGACCAAACTTCCTAAAAAGGGGAAGCCTGTGATAACCCAACCAATATTATGCTTAATTATACATGCGATTATGTGTTTGATATGAAATCGCAAGTTTAAGTATATGAATTATGTGAATTTGGAACAATATCTACTGTGTGTAGGAATATCTTTTGCAATTGAGACTTTGAACTAAAAATTGAAAGTCGTAGAGGCGCGATAAACGAAAACTGACTTCATATCTGTGATTAGCATATTTTTAGAGCCTATGGTGAAATTTTGAAAAATTATAACTCGTAATGATTAAATTAAGTTTTATGAGTTAAGTTATGTGTATAGCCCTCTTTTGTTCCTTATTTTTGGTAGAGAGCTCTAGAGAGTGAGTTAGAGAGAGAGAGAGAGAGAGAGAGGAAAAGCTAGGATTTTGCTAGAGATTCAAAGGGCAAACCCTAGATTGAAGCTAAGGTATGGAAATTTACTTGAAATCTTTGTCTTTAGCTCATATCTTTGGCATGTAATCAAGAAGAAATTATAAATTTTGAGCTAGGGTTTTGGGTTGTGTAATGGGTTGAACCAAATGCAAGAAATAGAACCTTAATCTCTTCACCTTTGTTTCGTTTGAATTCATTTTTGTGATTGATCCATGAAATAAACTCTAGATGGTTCATACAACCAAGATTTGTTAGAAGATTCATCATATTTGTATGTATATTGAGCTTTTGTATGTAATTTATGAATATATGAAAAAGATGAGACCATGAATCTAAAGTTGGAGCAAGATTGATATGTTTAAAGTGAGATTACACTTGTATCAAGCTAGTATATCATGTTTTTGGGATTGTTTTGCATGAATTTGGGGTTGGAAATGGGTTTGGAAGATTTAATTTTGTGCTATTTTCGGACTGTCTGGTTTTGTCCAGACCGCTCGTGTGGCCACGGGCTCTGCATGAGCGGAGCATGAGCAACTTTGGCCAAATTGGTTATGTGCGCTCGGGTGGCTCGCACTTTCGCACGAGCGAAGCTAGACCGCTCAAGAGGTTAGGTCAACCCACACGTGCGGCCAGACAGGAGTGAAAATTATGTTTTTTTCTGTTAACCTTTTCGACCTTTTGAATGCCTTCTTGACCTTATGTAAACCCTCCAGAGTATGAACGATGATTTGAAACCATTGGAAAAAGAATGTGAATCACTAAAAGAAAATGTACGAAATGATCAGATTATTTACCGAATGTGTGTATGTGGCATGTTTGTGTAGGTCGTGTATCGAAGGAAACACCGTAAGATCCAATGCACTGTGAGTAATAATATTGTACATATATGTTCTTAATTGTGCACCTTGAGTCACGAATTGGGAACTGTGCCAACATTGTGTTTTGATTGAGATGAATGAAATTTGTAAAAGTTCTATGACATGTGCAATGTGGACCCAAGGTTGTTTTGTTTATACTATGATATATTTGGGCTCGAGGCCAACCTGGTAATATGTAGGCCCGAGGTCGTTCTGTTAATATGTGGGCCTAAGGCCGTTCTGTTAATATGTGGGTCTGAAGTCATTCTGTACTTTTGTGGGCCTGAGGCCGTTCTAATATAATGCGCTTAAGGTTGTTCTGTTTATGTAATGGGCCTAAGGCCATTCTATTTATGTAATGGGCCTAAGGCCGTTCTGCTTATGTGATGGGCCCAAGGCCGTTCTGTATTATGACTATGAAATTATAAGAACCTTATGTTCATTTAATTGCATTGCTTTACTGTATTATTACTCATTGAGTTTCACTTACCCAATATTGTGTTTGCACATGTAGGTGATCCGCACCATGGAGCCCACCCTTAGAGTCAACTTCAGGAGCTATTTTTTGTGAACCTGTCGTGTCATGCCTTTGAGATGGAGTTTTGCCTTTGACTCCCATTGTACTTTGACTTTATTTTGTTTTTGTTAATTTGGTCTTGGGTTTTGTAAACAATATGTATAAAAATTTCCTATGGTGCATATTTTTTTTTCATGGGCACGTAATTGATGTGAATGTGTTATGGTATAAGCTTTATAACTTTGCTCATATTGGCACAGCTCAATGGACTTCTTTAGTTGTTATATGCTTCTGTTTATGGCCCCATTATTATAATTACTTTGTATGTTGTTTGAGGGCAATGGTAATCAAGTGATTACCGGCCGGTTATGACCTAAACTTTTAGGGGCGGGTTCGGGTCATGACAGCACCACACATGGCATAACTGTCACAGGAATTTGTTGGTTTGATTATGTAAAGCACCCAACCTCTTCCATTCACCCATGTCCAACGCTGGATGGAACCATTCTTGTTGATTAGAAGCCTCAACACAATTGAAATATTAGGTAGCTCGTAAATATAATACGCCTCCTGTTTACTAAAAGCAAAACTAAAATTGTATATGTTGTTCTGCTTCAAACTGGGATTCCCAGTATAACGCTAACCATTCTACTGTCCATACCTATACCACTCAACTGAGCCATTGCTCCCCTAAAATTGTGGATATCCATGAAGATCCAACCAATACGTATAGAATCCTTGTGCAGGATTATCATTGCCCTTCCAAGAAGATAGGTACCAATTACGACCAGTTACCCAGTTCTTTCCAAGCTTCGTGCCTGGTGAAAGAGTATCACACGGATTACCACAAAAAGTTATCTAGCTTATCATCATTTGTATCTTTGACAACAAGATTTCCACATTCCAAGAGTTGTGCAATTGGGTTCTGTACAGATCTTGAGGTATTGGTAGACCATATGATTTGGCCAGCGGTTTTATTGAGAAGTACAAGAATTCCTGGGTTGACGATCTTTATAACGCCTGAGGGATTCATGATCAAAATTTCTCTGTTAGCAACCCATACCATTGTCTGAGTTATTATTTTCTTGTACCATATTCCCAAGTACCAATTATTGGAGCTTCTGGGGCTGAAAAATCCCATTTCAAAGCTTCCACCGGATGAAATAATGGTTTGGTTGTCTGTAATGAATTGTGTTGTTGTTATGGTGTCTGATGCTTGGCAGATTATTGAAATTGAAAATAAAAATGATAGGAATAGAAGCATGGTAATGAAGGCTTTAGTTGATGTGTTCATGCTGCTTGTGAAAATCATGCTTGTATTCTATTTTCCAATTTATTCATTCATGAATCCATATACTTAACTCAATAACACCTCCTGAATTTGACTGCCAACCTTATTTTCCTACAAATATTTTTCCATGATCCGTGGGTTCAGTGGAGACTTTTCATATGATCACATTTAATTCTTTCTGAATGTTCAAAGTGAAGGCGACCTTTTTAGTGACTTGACTAATAATAAGGCCTTTTGATAATGGCATGGCACACCAAACACCCACCATTCTGTCAGACATCCCACCTTTTCCCCTCTTTATTTCTCGATTTTGTCGTCTGAAGCCACGCATTACCAAATTCTACAGAGGAAAAAACTATCAAAAAATCTTATGGCAATTGTGGGGACATATTTTTGGGTAGTTCACGTGGTTGAGATTGTTAGCCGAGGTGTCACGTGGGTGGACCATGGTGCCGAGATATGGTGCAGTAATACCGAAATCAGAGATATTTGGATAGATGACTAGAGTCCTAAATGACATGAAACTACCTATTTGGATAATGGGACTCTTGAGGAAGTTTATCATAATCTGAATAGTGTGAGTTGTGATAGATGTTATCCTTGTAAAGGATAGAGTCCCATGAAGTAAGACTTCTAGGGGAAGTTGAACTCTGATCATTATAAAAGTAAGTCACCCACATGGGTTTAAGGTATGTTTTTATTTGTGATGCTCTTACTTATGCATTGGGTATTTGTTTGATATCTTTGAGAGATAAGTTTACTGACTTGGTCGTTGGAGTGCCTCTGGGTGGACGAACCACCGCGGTATTCTCATCTTCTTGTTGGCTGGTGATTGGTTTAATCCAGTTTGCCGCGTGTTCTCCAGCTGAGTTTCCCTTTTGGTTGTGTAGTCGGAAATCAACACCCACAACAAAATCACTAAAAACCTCTTCTTAGACCATCTCCAACAGTTCATCAATTCTCTCATCAAGTTTAAATTTGATAAAAAAAAATAACCTTTTTCCTCATGGAACAATGAGGAAAAAGGTTGTTCCTCATAAACGATGAAAGAATTAGATCATGAAAGTAAGACTCATGATAAGTCCACAAGTCTAGACGAGACCGGTGTAATAATCTACAGTGTAAATTGAAAAAAATCCAATCCCCATTTTTTTGTAGGTGCTATTTGGAGCCACGTATTTTTATTCGTAATGTGCCATAACATTGTTCAATTTTCCTTGTATGGTGCTAGACTTTTGCATATTGTTATTTTTCCTCCGAAGACTTGGAAAATGGTGTGCAGAGAACAACGAAGATTGATAATATAAGTCAAAAGTCAACAGGTTGTGGAGGGTACGTAGTTTCAGCACATGCGTGTCAAATAAAAAAAAAGTTTGATAAGTCTAATTTAGGAAACATTTATTATCTTGTTTGTCTAACTTTTGTTGCTGGGATAGTTTTTAATTCGAAAATCTGAGCTTTTACTATTACAGGATAAGAAGGAGATAGAATGGAATTGCCCATTTTGGGAATCCTAGAATAAGGGAGGCAAAGGAGGATAATAAATTCTCTCTCTTCATGGGTGGTGGTGGTGGTGGTGGAGTTGTCACAAGAGCGAGGAGTGATGGGTCTGCAACGATGGCTGGGGAAGGGAAGTAGGGTGGCGGCTGCTGGGGACAGCAAGAGGCAGTGAGCGAGTGCTGGAGGCTGGTGATGTGTATTAAAAAAAAAAAGGGTTTTTTACAATTTTGTATAAAAAAAAAAGTAATTTGATCAAGGGACAAAAATATAATTAAAAGAATTATCAAGATGATGTAAACTAATGAATTGATGGTGTGCAAATAAAATTTCTCTTATTATATTGGCCCTGTTTGGTACAGCTTTTTTTCAGCTTATTTCAGCTTTCAGCTTAATTTAAGCTATTTTGATGTGTTTGGTTTAGCTTAACAATGCAGCTTATAGCTTTTTATAAGTCAGAAATCAACTTATTCTTTGAGTGTGGCAGGAGAAGCTTAATTTATAAGTCAGAAATCAGCTTATATTCATAGTTATAAGCTATAAGCTATTAAGGCATAAGCTATAAGCACTTTTCCACAGCTCTATCAAACAGGGCCTTAGTGCTTACTGTTAGTGGTTATCCTGCATCAATTTGGAATTAGAGCTTAAGCCTTCGCCGCCGCATTGTTCCATCCGTCAAACCACCATCAATTCAACAACTAGTCCACCAACATGGTCACTTCAAAGGGATAATCAAAGTGAAGCAAAAGAGTTGCATCATCAGATTATCAAAATGAAAGTGTTAAAACAGTACAACTAGCACAATTGATGCAGAGTATAAGAAGCTCAAAGTAGAGCAATGGTTGTTTGGGGTGCACTACAAAAGTGCACTTATTTATCTTTTTATCTTTTTTGGGTCACATCATCTCTCTACTTTTCTGCACATCTTTTCATAAAAAATCAAAAAGTGCACTTATTTAGATCATCTCAAATAACCCTTGATATTTGGAAATTGACGTGATTTCAAAGAAAAACCGATAGGAACTATACATAATCATGTTTCTAATACTATTAGAGTCTTATTTTATGATATGTTTATAATTTCTAGGATTTTTTGGTCAGGGGTACTTTAGTAATTTTCATATTTGCTAACATGGGTTGAAGGGCTCACCCATGAGTCGTCATACAGGTCAAGTTTTATGTTTCTTATTTGGTCTTAAATTGATTTTGGAAGTAGTTTCTTGTTTTGGCTCTAGTAGGTTTAGAAAATCTTCTAGTTCTATATAAAACCATGTAATACAAACAATTTAATGGAGTTGACATTTTAGAGAATTTCAAGAGCTTTTTAAGCTTCTTTATGGATTGTGTGATGCGATCAAACCCTAGGTGTGACGCCTAAAGGATTCTAGGAGTGATTCTTAGATCTACCTTCTTCTTTCCTTCTTTCTTGAATCTCAGCACTTTCACAAGTACTGTTCACAGCATCCTAAAACAGCCCCTATAACAGTGTCAAACCAGCCCCAAAAGCCCATTGTAGTGGCTGTCCCTAATCATCCTACATCAGCCATATAGTTCGCTAAAAGAGGTTCGAGCCAAATTGAAAAAATCAAATAATCCATGTACCTTAGTGACTAAAGAATCAAAAGAACAAGCCACAGCTCCACAATTATTGTTCCTTTTGTCGTGGCTATGTGACATCTGAGCTCTCTGACAAGACAACAGAAGTACTGCTTGATAAACCACCTTCAACGTATAATGTTGAAGAAGCAAAACTCTCAATTATCCAATATTTCAGCATATTGTATGTATCCAGTAACAGATAGTAAGCCAAATAACTCACCAGCTCCTGATATCATTCGAGAGAAAGCTATGGTTGAATGACAAGGATATTGCACATAAAGATGTCGAGGAGATGACTTTTCGAACAGTGCTTACACAAAACCGACGGAGTATATAAGGAAAGTCATATGACACGTGGTTCATGTAGGTCCATTCAAGGACATTTCCTCTACTCATTGTTTTCAATTGTTGAAATTGTCATTCCAGATAAAATATAATCAACCCTTGAGAAGATTAATCTCCAAATTTCTCCCTTACAATCTCATTGAAAAGGAAAGGCCAGCATCAAATTGAATCGTTTCCAACTAAGTCCCTCAATGCAATTAACAAGTTTATTGATTTTATATTTGGTAAACTACCAATAGGTCCTAATAGTTAGATTTAATTCGCATCAAGTCCTATTAAAAATAAGTCCTAATAAAATCATCGTTAAAAATAATTTTGTGACGATTTTTTGCTTATGTCGCTAAAATTTGATAATTAGTGACTTTTTTTTGTCACGATTTTTTATAAACTATCGTAAAACTTACAATTAGTGACTTTCTGTGACAAATTTTTCAAACTGTCACTAAAAGTTGAAAATTAGTGACATTTAAACTATCGCTGAAACTTATACATTTTTTGTAAAAATTTTCAAATTATCACTGAAAATTAACAATTAGTGACTTTTTTAATAGTGTTTGATGAACCCCTTTTATGTTTCATCACATTAAAACTTGAGGTCTAGTTTTCTCCAAAACAAGAATGATTTAGTCAACACTAGGCACAAAAAAGATTAAAATCAACAAAGTGGAAAACTTTGGAATTGTATTAATTTCATGGCAGTCCTATTAGATTCAAGCACAATATTTTTGGCTTGAGGACTAGTTTTCTCAAAACAGTAATGATTTAGTCAACACTGGGCTCAAGAAAGATTAAAATTAAAGAAGAGATTAACTTTGGAAGTTGGCACGATTACATGGCAGGTCCTATTAGATTTATGCAGAGTATTTTTTGGCTTAGTAGCGTCTTCTATTATGATTATATAAGTTACTTTCAAAACTTCAAGAGGTTGGCTTGGGACTTGGGGTGTGCTCCCTCCAAGGTTTCAGGTTTGAAACCTCCGAGATGCAAACTATTTCTTGGGGTCAGTCCATACAGGGCTTTGCCCTGGCTTTAATTGAGGCCCCTGTTAGTAGACGGTGGGATTGGTCCCCAGATTAGTCAATCCAATGGGCCGGATAACGAGTTATTAAAAAAATTCATATGTTACTTTTAAATTATGTATCATAAATATATATGTATCTATATAGGTTATTTTCAAATTTGGTTTGTTTTTTACATGTTTTTCTACAGCTGTATTTCAGGGCAGTTTAACAAAGTTCATCATGGACAACAAAATGGGTGGGCTCTGAAATCTCTATAAATAAGTGGTTAATCGTTTGTTTTGGGAATGGATTAAAGACATCATTTGCAGCCTGTTATTTGTGGATGTCTAATGCATCTCATCTTAGGTGTGCATGCCCCCTTTGTGTGATTGGCTAGGTTCTCTTTTCTTCCTCTTCTCTTTCTCTCTTAAATTTGTCTACAATCACGGAACTCTTACTACACCCGCCATTCAACCTTTATAATCCTAAATAACTAGCCCACAAACCCAATACTAAACTTTTATTATAACCAGAAATTTCTAATCCTCCAATGCTGCTCACCCTAATTTGGCATTGAAAAAAAAAATCCCATGCAACAGCTTATAATCAGAGCTATTTTCTAGTTCGTTAGTGCTTGAAGCAGGTGAATTTTGTCCCACACAGGATGCAATAGAAGTATAAGACGGCTCGACTTATCATAAAAGGATAGACATCTTTGTTTTATGTATCGCAAAACCATACACGAAACTCATACAATAAACAATACATACACAGACAAAAAGGTGAGGATTCATTCACTATATATGATAATATGTATTCATAACAAACATATGCAATGAGAAAGAGAGAGCATACTCAATCAAGAATTCCACAGCAATATCCTTTAGGCTGACTTTTTTCAACTGATTCTTCACCAGATATGCTGCGTTTTCTCTACAATATTTTCTCCCACAATCACAATCATTCAAGTACAATATTACCCGGCGGTCAGAAAGAACATTCTTGAAATTGACTGCACAAAGCAGTATCTCCTGAACAGACAAAATTAATGACATAATTGCACCAAATTGAAATCAACAGAAAAACAGAATTATCATTGTCACTATTTTAAAAACAATTACCTTCATCATCTCCCATGAGTTATTGCTACTTGGAGAGGAATCAAGAACTGCCTTATATGCAGGATTCGACATAGCAGTTGCAGCCAATACACCAACTGGTTCACCAGCAGCAAAGGCACTCTTAGATCCAGGCTTAACCCCATAATCAAATTGAATAACTGAATTGCTGCAAACATTCCTCACAGTGTCATCATAACAGATAACAACATCCCGAAGGATGGCCATTAAATTTTTGAATAGGGTTCCTGGTTCCGTCAACCCTCTAGATGAACGGACAATTACTTCTCTGGCAGAGATAGAATGAACCATCTCTTGATATGGATCCAATCCATGGAAGAGGCAGTTTGTCACCAACCCATATTCCTCAGAAGGGTATTTAGCACGAAAAGGATGCTTGTTCTGGAAAAGAGAAGCCATCTCCCCAACCAAGGACCTAGAGTAAAATTTCCCCCTATCTGAAAGTTGCAACCCCAAGAACCCAATTTGTTGAACCACTTTACTAATGGCTGATTCACTCCTGGAGTCAATTACATTACCCATTTGTGATGACTTCAGAATGAAATTAGCAACAGGAACTTTTAGAAGCCGCAAATGATTCTCCAATTGCAACTCAACCAGTTCATTATAAGTCAACCGCAACTGATACAACAATGGCGAAATATCCTGAATACCATTCTGGATATTTTCTAAGACCACTCTAGAAATGGAAAAATCTTCCAAACCAACACTGAAACCTTCTGAAAATAAATTTTCCATGAGCAAAGGCTGTAAAGAGTTAAAGAACTTCAAAACCTCATCCGGGCCCTTCTCAAAGCAAATAGAGCTAACAATGTCATTAATAATTGACTGCATTACATCTCTACTAAAATCTATGCTCAATATTTCACTTTTACAAACTAAATGTCTCTCCCCACTACAGTCAAAGCAACGAGGTAGAGCAGTCTGTAGTATCTGTAAAGCAGTCCAATGAGGGCCGGATGTATAAGTCTTCAATAAAGCAGGTTGTGGCAAGGAATTTGACACAAACATCGCTAATTGTTGGGCAGCTGCTCTATCCAAGAAGTAGTTCTTAAACAAAATCTTTAGAGACAACAATGAATCAGTGGCCAGCTGCAAGTTGAGATTGCCACTATGAGAACTAAGCAACTGTTTCTCTACAGAGAACAGTTCCAAAACCTCTGATTTGGCAGCGAGGGATTGAGGATAAAATATATGGACACAGTCCCCATCAAAATCAGCACTAAGTGGCCCACATATAAGAGGGTTGATCTTGACTGTATGGTCATCGTGAACATAAACCGACAAAGCTTGCAGGGAATGTTTATGCGTTGTCGGAGGTCTATTGATGAAAACAATATCCCCATCCATTATCCGTCGATGTACCACTTGACCAGGTCTTAAAAAAGTATGCCCCTTCGAACCTTCCCTCAGCGAGTAGGTTGACAAACCATCCCTATAGGTTAAACACAACTTTTCATCAACCAGCTTCTGCAGATACTGCATGTTATATTGAGTAACTCTCTCCTCAAATGTTATCCGTTGAGCAATTTCAAAAGGCAGTCCAATCTCATTGACTCCTTTATATGCATCACCTGTAATAACACTCCGTGAGGAGAATCCACAACCCTTTCTGATAAATAGGGTTTTCATCTTCTCAAGCCATGCTTTAGTAGTAGAATCGCTTTGCTCTTTGTTAATCCCAAATCGTGTATCCATGTCACGAGATGCCTTGTAGAAGAAATATGCACGGAAAGACAAGAAAACAACAGTTGTTCATGAACATTTGCACAATTTAATTGCCAAAGGTTTGACTAGATTATCAATCATATTCTCAATAAAGAACAAATGTCACCCAAGTAAACAGTAAACCAACATCAACTACAGAAAACACCATCTTCTAAAACGGATCATCATTCTCAGATAATTCAAATAAGCAATGCAATGGACATGATTGATGAGATCTATTAAAATAAGCAATGCAATGTACATAAAATGGATCATCATTCTCAGATAATTCTGTATAGTTTTTAATTAGTTTTTCTCTCAAATCCTCAAAGCAATAAAGTGCCCCCACTAAGGGTCAGCCAAACTTCCTTTGAATTAGCAACAGACATGATTGATGAGATCTATTAAAATAAGCAATGCAATGTACATAAAATGGATCATCATTCTCAGATAATTCAAATAAGCAATACAATGGACACGATTGATGAGATCTATTAAAATAAGCAATGCAATGTACATAAAATGGATCATCATTCTCAGATAATTCAAATAAGCAATACAATGGACACGATTGATGAGATCTATTAAAATAAGCAATGCAATGTACATAAAATGGATCATCATTCTCAGATAATTCAAATAAGCAATACAATGGACACGATTGATGAGATCTATTAAAATAAGCAATGCAATGTACATAAAATGGATCATCATTCTCAGATAATTCAAATAAGCAATACAATGGACACGATTGATGAGATCTATTAAAATAAGCAATGCAATGTACATAAAATGGATCATCATTCTCAGATAATTCAAATAAGCAATACAATGGACACGATTGATGAGATCTATTAAAATAAGCAATGCAATGTACATAAAATGGATCATCATTCTCAGATAATTCAAATAAGCAATACAATGGACACGATTGATGAGATCTATTAAAATAAGCAATGCAATGTACATAAAATGGATCATCATTCTCAGATAATTCAAATAAGCAATACAATGGACACGATTGATGAGATCTATTAAAATAAGCAATGCAATGTACATAAAATGGATCATCATTCTCAGATAATTCAAATAAGCAATACAATGGACACGATTGATGAGATCTATTAAAATAAGCAATGCAATGTACATAAAATGGATCATCATTCTCAGATAATTCAAATAAGCAATGCAATGGACATGATTGATGAGATCTATTAAAATAAGCAATGCAATGTACATAAAATGGATCATCATTCTCAGATAATTCAAATAAGCAATGCAATGGACATGATTGATGAGATCTATTAAAATAAGCAATGCAATGTACATAAAATGGATCATCATTCTCAGATAATTCAAATAAGCAATGCAATGGACATGATTGATGAGATCTATTAAAATAAGCAATGCAATGTACATAAAATGGATCATCATTCTCAGATAATTCAAATAAGCAATGCAATGGACATGATTGATGAGATCTATTAAAATAAGCAATGCAATGTACATAAAATGGATCATCATTCTCAGATAATTCAAATAAGCAATGCAATGGACATGATTGATGAGATCTATTAAAATAAGCAATGCAATGTACATAAAATGGATCATCATTCTCAGATAATTCAAATAAGCAATGCAATGGACATGATTGATGAGATCTATTAAAATAAGCAATGCAATGTACATAAAATGGATCATCATTCTCAGATAATTCAAATAAGCAATGCAATGGACATGATTGATGAGATCTATTAAAATAAGCAATGCAATGTACATAAAATGGATCATCATTCTCAGATAATTCAAATAAGCAATGCAATGGACATGATTGATGAGATCTATTAAAATAAGCAATGCAATGTACATAAAATGGATCATCATTCTCAGATAATTCAAATAAGCAATGCAATGGACATGATTGATGAGATCTATTAAAATAAGCAATGCAATGTACATAAAATGGATCATCATTCTCAGATAATTCAAATAAGCAATGCAATGGACATGATTGATGAGATCTATTAAAATAAGCAATGCAATGTACATAAAATGGATCATCATTCTCAGATAATTCAAATAAGCAATGCAATGGACATGATTGATGAGATCTATTAAAATAAGCAATGCAATGTACATAAAATGGATCATCATTCTCAGATAATTCAAATAAGCAATGCAATGGACATGATTGATGAGATCTATTAAAATAAGCAATGCAATGTACATAAAATGGATCATCATTCTCAGATAATTCAAATATCTACCGGATTCTCAGTGAGATACGCGATGAATCTTTCGTCAGATGGCCAGCTAAGTTGGGAGAAGCACAGAAAGACTATGACGAAAGGTCCCGGTGCACTTTCCATGATGAAAAGGGTCACCGCACTGAAAATTGCACACCGTTGAGAAAGCACTTTGAGGAGTTAGTGGCAGCTGGGCACCTAGACCAGTACATAGAATGAGGGACACAACCAGCCCCCCAGAACCACGACAACCTAAACGGAATGCCGGTCGACACCCCACCTCAAGGCGTGATTAACGTAATACATGGGGTATTCGAACTTGAGCAAGTATGTGAGCTCAAGGGAATGATCAAGAAGGCTGAGCACTTAAAGGAGGTACTAAGTGCGCAACCTACAACCAAAAAGGGGAGAACAGAGGCCACGAATGTCATATCTTTTTCAGACAGAGACTTGGCAAGGATATATTTTCCTCACAATGATGCACTGGTCGTCACACTCCACGTCAAGGATTACGACATCAAACGAATTTTGATCGACCAGGGAAGCTCGCGTGAGATAATGTATTGCGAAACCTTCAAACAATTGAAACTGGAGGACAAAGACTTGGCGCCTGCAATATTTTCCCTAATCAGATTCAACTCAATGTCAGAGTGGCCAGTGGGCAAGATAATCCTCCCAGTCAGAGCAGGAAGTATGACGAAACAGGTGGAATTTTGGGTATTGAAAGTCCTTCCACTTACAACATAATCTTGAGAAGGACATGGTTGCACGCCATGCAATCGGTAGCGTCAACCTACCATCAAGTGTTACGGTTCCCCAACGAAGCCTGAGTAATTGAAGAGGTCTTTGGAGACCAAATTATGTCCAAACAGTGCTTCGTCACAGTAAATGGCAGCTGTGCTGCCAAAGGGTATGTACAAATGGTGGAAATCGTGGTAGGCATACCACACCATCGCAAGCAGAGAGTAGGAGCCTGAGAACAGGCGACACTCAATCAAGGACTTCCAGGACTCGTTACTCCAGGTCTGAGAGAACGAGAACATTGAGGTCCTACACTGAGGGAAGCACCTATCGGCCCTCACATACGCACCAGACATCATCCAGGCAAACGGAGTTGCCTAGATCGTCCGACTTACGGACTGTGCTTGAAGAAAGGGCACAGCGGAAAGAGGATGCAAGGGCACGCGATCCGCACAGAGTTTCAGCCCTTCAGCGGTTGGCTCCTCGGACGCATAGAGGCGTCGAGGTAGGAATGCCAATACCACACCTTGCCTACGAACCAACAGATAAAGCATTGGCAAGGCTATATAGCTCGCCGTTTGTTCCGGCGATTGAGAACGCACCCTTACATTCAGGTTTCATCCAGCCTAAATTTACGACGTACGAAGGGAAGACAGACCCTTACATGCACCTAAGCCATTTTCGCCAGGTCATGGCAGTATACCGGCGGAACGAAGCTTTGATGTGCATCCTATTCCCATCCAGCCTTGGCGACCTAGGTTTAACCTAGTTCGAAAGGCTACCAGAAGGCAGCATAACCTCCTGGGCGCAATTAGTGGAGGCGTTCGTAACAAGGTTCAGACGAACACCAAGACGCCAGTAGAGATCGACCAGCTACTCTTCATTGACATGGGCAACAAGGAGACGTTGAGATCCTACAACAGTCGTTATTGGGAGACCTTCAACCAGATAGGAGATTGTCCCACAAATCTCGCCATCGCGCAATACAAAAGAGAACTTCCAGTCAGAAACAGGCTGAGGGACTCAATTACCATGACACCTCCCCTCACAATGGAAGCTTTAATGGAGAAGGTACACCAGCACATTCGGGTGGAGGAGGATGGCACCCGTGCTAAAACAAAGTCTGGTGCAGCTGCAATACCAGATAAAAAGACTTCGGCAAAATTCAACACGGTAGAACGTCCAAGCAAGAACGAGCGAGGCAGGCGAGACAACGGAGAAGACCAAGATAAAAGATGGTTGAGAGTCCGCACTGCCATTATCACGCTATTCAAGAAACCAATCTACCGAATTCTCAGCGAGATACGCGATGAACCTTCGTCAGATGGCCAGCTAAATTGGGAGAGGCACAGAAGGACTACGACGAAAGATTTCGGTGCACCTTCCATAAGGAAAAGGGGCACCGCACTGAAAATTGCACGCCGTTGAGACAACATCTGGAGAAGTTGGTGGCAGCTGGTCACCTGGACCGATACATCGAAGGAGGCACGCAACCAACCGCCCGAAACCACGATCACCCAGACGGAACGCCGATCAACACCCCACCTCAAGGCGTGATAAACGTAATACATGTGGTATTCGAGCCTGAGCGAGTATGTGAGCTCAGGGGAATGATAAAGAAGGCTGAGCACTTAAGGGAGGTATTAAGTGCGCAGCCCACCATTAAAAAGGGAAAAACAGAGGCCACAAACGTCATGTCTTTTTCAGATAGAGACTTGGAAAGGATATATTGCCCTCACAATGATGCACTGGTCGTCACTCTTCGTGTCAAGGATTACAGCGTCAAGCGAATTTTGATCGACCAAGAGAGCTCATGTGAGATAATGTACTACGAAACTTTTAAATAGTTGAAACTGGAGGACAAAGACTTGGCACCTGCCGTATCTCCCCTGATCAGATTCAACTCAATGCTAGAGTGGCCAGTTGACAAGATTATCCTCCCAGTCAGAGCAGGAAGCATGACGAAACAAGTGAAATTTTGGGTGTTGAAAGTCCCTTCCACTTACAACATAATCTTGGGGAGGACATCGCTGCACGCCATGCGATCGGTAGCGTTAACTTACCATCAAG